TGTGGCAAGACCTTCGTTCAAAATTCATCTCTTGTAATGCATAAGGTCATTCATACTGGAGAGAAACGTTACAAGTGTAATGAATGTGGCAAAAGTTTTAATCACAAATCAAGTCTTGCATATCATCATAGACTTCATACTGGAGAGAAACCTTACAAGTGTAATGATTGTGGCAAGGTTTTTAATCGAAAATCAAACCTTGCACGTCATTATAGACTTCATACTGGAGAAAAACCTTACAAATGTGAAGAATGTGACAAAGTTTTCAATTTCAAGTCACTCCTTGAAATACATAGGACAGTTCATACTGGAGAGAAACCATACAAATGTAAGGTTTGTGACAAGGCATTCAGGTATGATTCACATTTGGCACAACATGCTGGAATTCACATTGGAGAGAAACCGTACAAGTGTAATGAGTGTGGCAAAGCCTTCTGTGGCCAGTCAACACTCATTCACCATCAAGCAATCCATGTTGTAGGGAAACTTTACTAATGTAATGATTGTCGCAAAGTCTTCAGTAACGCTACAACCATTGCAAATCATTGGAGAACCATAACGAAGTGAGATCTTACAAGTGTTATAAATGTGGCAGATTTTTCAGGCATCATTCTTACCTTGCAGTTTATCAGCGAACTCATACTGGAGAGAAACCTTACAAATGTGATGACTGTGGCAAGATCTTCAGTCAAGTTTCATCTTACACAAAACATAGGAGAATTCATACAGGAAAGAAACCTCACAAGTGTGATGATTGTGTCAAAGCCTTTATTTCACGTTCATGCCCCATTACACATCAGAGAATCCGTACTGGACAGAGATCTTACAAGTGTCATGTGTGGCAAGGTCTTTAGTCTGAGGTGACTCCTTGCAGGACATCAGGAAATTCATTTTTGAGGTAATAGTTCCAAATGCAGTGAGTATAGCAAACCATCAACAATTAATTGACATTAGATTCAAATCAGCATTGACTTGAGTTTGAGTTGACTTAACACTGAGTTCAAGCATTAATTGAGATTAAAGTGTTTATGTTCAGAGGATTAGGCCAGGTGCGGTGGCTCACACCTGTAATCCCAGCACTTTGGGAGGCCAAGTTGAGTAGATCACTTGAGGTCAGGAGTTTGAGAGCAGCCTTGCCAACAGATGTGAGCCATTTTCCCAGCCTGTTTTTTTGTTTCTTCAACAAATACTGATAGGGACTTTTATGGGTATCGTGTTGAATCTAAATCACACTGGGTTATATAAACATTTAACAATATTAATTTTTCCAAAACATCAGTATGGGTTGTATCTTTATATATGTTTTTAATCATTTCGATCAATGTTTGTAGATGTCAGTGTATGAATTTCTCACTTCTTTCTGTTTATTCCTAGGTATTTCTTACTTTAAGTTCTGTAGCAAATGGAAGTGTTTTTAAATTTTCATTTAAAATTGTTTATTGTTAATGTATGAAAATTCAACTAATTTTTGGTGTTGATATTGTATTGTGCAAATCTACTGATGTGTTTACTAGTCTCAGTAGTACTTTGACTCTGTGATTTTCTACACAGAAGATCATGTCATCTACAAACAAATATAATTTTACTTTTTTCTGATTTCGAGGCATTTCATTTCTTTTGCTATTTCATTGCTCTGGCTAGGGCAGCCTGTATTTATTGAATAGAAAAAGTGAGAGCATTCTTGCATCATTTGAGATCCTACAGGAAAAGCATTCCATTTTCCCTGCTTGGTTATTTCCACGTTGGTCACTTCATCAATGGTCAGGTAAATTTCCTTCTCTATTTTGTTTAAGATTTCTTTTTATTTATTTATTTTTTTGAGACGGAGTCTTGCTTTGTCGCCTAGGCTGGAGTGCAGTGGCACGATCTCGGTCACTGCAAGCTCTGCCTCCTGGGTTCACGCCATTCTCCTGCCTCAGCCTCCCAATAGCTGGGACTACAGGCGCGCACCACCACGCCCGGCTAATTTTTTGTAGTTTTAGTAGAGACAGGGTTTCACCATGTTAGCCAGGATGGTCTCGATCTCCTGACCTGATGATCTGCCCGCCTCAGCCTCCCAAAGTGCTGGGATTACAGGCGTGAGCCACCGCGCCCGGCCGTTTTAAGATTTCTATGATGATCAGACGTTGAATTTTGTGAAATGATTTTTCTCCGTCTGTTGAGATGATGTGGTTTTCATCTGTCATTCTGTTCAAGTGGTATATCACATTGATTTGCTTGAATATGTTGAACCATCCTTGGATGTCAGAAGTAAATGGCACTTGCATATCTACAATCCTTTTATATAGCCTCTTGAATACAGTTTTCTAGTACAAGAGGTCTTCAAGAAGCTCATGGAAAAATATGTATTATGGGAAAATTGTGCATGGATTTCACAGTTTTTGCACCAAAATAAACTGGTACAAATCTGTTATAACATGTCTGAACAGGCTGTAGTTTGAGGCACTAAGAAGGATAAGGCATGAGTTTGAAAAGAGACTATCAAAGCAATATAAATTCTGCTAAAATTGAAATAAGAAACATCAAATTTACGATGAGACCAGATGCAGTGTCTCAGGTCTCTAATCCCAGCACTTTCAGAGGCCGAGACAGGTGTGTCACATGAGCCTGGGTATTCAGGACCAGCCTGGGTAACAAGGTGAAAACCCCTTCTATACAAAAAAAATACAAAAATTCGCTGGGCATGGTGGCACATACCTGCAGGGCCAGCTACTGTGGAGTCTGCAGCCAAAGGATGGCATGAGCCTGGGAGGTGGAGGCTGCAGTGAACTGTGATCTTGCCACTGCTTTCCATCATGTCTCAAAAAAAGAATACTTATGGTAAAGTTTGGGTAGACGAATAATGATATCACTGATGCTTTATGAAAAGGTTATGGGGACGAAGCCCAAAAGAAATCAACAGTTTGTAAATGGATAACTCATTTTGAGTTGTGAGAAGACAATGTTGAAGGTTATGTATGGAGCAGCAGGCAGACCATCCACATCAGTTTCACGGAAAAACAATAATCTTGTTTGTGCTGCAATGAAGAGGACTGATAGCTAACAGCAGAAACAATAGTCAAGAGGTTGAGAACAGGCTGGTTAACATGGTGAAGTGCCATCTCTACTAAAAATATAAAAATTAGCTAGGTATGGTGGCGGGCACCTGTAATCCCAGCTCCTCGGGAGGCTGAGGTGGGAGAATCGCGTAAACCCAGGAGGCGGAAGTTGCAGTGAACCGAGATGATGCCATTGCACTCCAGCCTGGGCAACAAGAGTGAAACTTTCTCTCAAAATAATAATAATAATAATAAATATCAAGCCCCTTCTCTTCCTTTGTCTGCCATCGTGGTTTGTACTTGACTCTACTTCTAGCCATATCTTCTCATAAGACTTTCAGGATTAAGTGATTCCTGGCCAAGAAAAAAAGCAAAATCGTTCCATTCCCCAGTGGATTCAGATGAAAACTGGTAATAAAATCAGGTACAACTTTAAAAGAAGACACTGGAGAAGAGCCACACTGGGTCTATAAGGAATTGCACATGAGATGACATACATATTTATGCTGTCTGAGCATTACAATCACGTTACCATATCAAGCAGAAAATGTCACCACTATCTGAAGAGTGGGACATGTTTTATTGGGAATACATTTTTTTCTCTCTGAATCTGTTATGAACACGTTGGTTGGCTGGGTTCAGTAATAAATACGTCAGACTTTTCATTTCCAAAAAAAAGTCAAATGATGTAATTCCATAGAGTACCTTAACTCCTGTATTGCTTTTTTTTTTTTTTTTTTGAGATGGAGACTCCACTGGGCTCAGTGGATCACACTTGTGTTCGTCACACATTGGGAGGCTGAGGTGTGAGGTTTGCTTGAGACCAGGAGTCTCCTGGGAATCTTCTTGCCTCCACTAACCCAGTTCATGACAGACCCTTGGACTTTACTGTTCTGGAAAATCTATATAAAGCAGTATCAGTGTGTCAAAGCATTATGGCTGTCAGAAGCTTGTGAAAGAAACTCAAAATTACTAAGTCAAAGAGAAAAGTCAAGCTGGGAACAGTGTCAGGCAAACCTTCCTCCAATTTTATTCCTAAACAAGATAGCTACAAGGATTTTTTTAAAAAGCTACATAGAGGCTGGGTACAATGGCTCAGGCCTCTAATCCCAGCACTTTGGGAGGCCTCAGTGGGCGGATCACTGAGGTCAGGAGTTCGAGACCAGCCTGACTAACATGGAGATACCCCTTCTCTAGTAAAAGTAGAGAATTAGTCAGACATGGTGGCATATGCTTGTAATACCTGCTACTCGGGAGGCTGAGGCAGGAGAGTCACGTGAACCCAGGAGGCAGAGGTTGTGGTCAGCCAAAACCACACCATTGCACTCCAGCCTAAGCAATAAGAACAAAACTCCATCTCCAAGATGAATGAATAAATAAATATTTAAAATATAAAGATGAGGTTTCACCATGTTGCCTGGGCTGGCCTCCAACTCTTGGCCACTAACTATCTTTCTGCTTTAGCCTCCCATCATGCTGGAACTACATGCACGAGCTGCCACCC